CGTTGGTACGTAGTACGAACGTAACTGAGACACATGATGTGAGTTTTCGCCGTCGGAGACCCCATATGCAGAGTTGCACACTCTTGGGGGGTTATAATTATACTCTTGCTATGAGCTTACACCAGATCGCATCGATCGCCTCAAGCTGAGAGGATGCGTCGTTCCGGGGCTCTTTGCACCGCTGCTGAAGGCTGAGTACAATAGCCCAACGGAGCATGGACGCCGACGGTTGCCTCCTCTGTCCAAAGGGAATATTTACTCATGCTGATATTAAACCCAGATTTTGTGATTCGACGTACGATTTTTCTTTCGAATGTACATTGTACACCATGCACGAGCTGTTGTGCTATATACAGTGCTATACACCTCTGATGAGCTTTTTTCTTCTTCTTTTTTTCTGCAACTTTTTATTTTCTTCCACCTCTCGTGTATGATTCCGGAAGTTGAACTGACGTGAAACATAGAAAAACATGGTGGCCTTTAATAGGGTGCACGTTGACACTCACGGCAAGTCCAGGATGGTGCTACCACACCAATCATTACACTGGCAACGGGAGCGTAAGAAAAAAAGAAGAAGAGGAAAATGAGAAACTAACAGAATGGACTCGGATGGAGAGCCAAGTGTAGTATCCCTGCCTTGCTTGTACTGAACTGTAGCTGACTACTACATCTATATCCACTGACCTCTAACCATGTCACATGTACACTTACATGCACTGCATGACTCTTGTCACTCCTTTGCTGACAAGCCTGCAAAGCTAATTATATCACTTCTCACTACTTGTGTTTCTCTTGCGCTTGCTGGATGTATCTTTGCTAGTTTAGATCATCACACCTGTATGTACATGTAGAACTAACACCCACATGTTGTACTGTACCTCGGCCTCCCTGACCCTGACTGAGGTCATGCGCACAGTCATGACCCTTTCTAGATCCTGTTTGCATCCATTTGCCAATGCCCTCCCTGGCCTCTGTTCTCCTCCAAAGTTCCGTTTGCTTCTTTCATCCTTATACATTTAGATACTGTTGCTATGCCTTCCCAAGTTCTGTTTGGACTGACACAACAGACTTTTGCCCTTTTTCATGACTCATGGCTCATGCAGACTCTATGATGATCTCCTTCCTTTTCGCCCTATAAAAGCTGCCATGCTTTACTCATTTCTTCAGAACAGAACAGAGTCCCTCCTGGCAGATTGAGCCGGAGCAGTTGTATTCCTTTCAGTGTCCCTCCAGGCAGATTGAGCCGGAGCAGTTGTACACATAACTTCAGGCAGATTGAGCCGAATAACATAATATTAGTCAGTCTTCTTGTGTGTGCCTCCTGATACCACTCGGCGACCTATTACACAAGGACTAATTTATAGAAAAGAAAAAGGACCAAGGAACTACAAGTTACGCTATAATGTCCACTAACACCACCAGTTACTAAACAATCAGCTCATGCAATAACAGTGCAATGTTATCACATGAGCTGATTGTTTAGTAACTGGTGGTGTAGTGGACATTATAGCGTAACTTGTAGTTCCTTGGTCCTTTTTTCTTTTCTAGAAACTAACACCATAGCTCAGTGGTTAGAGCATCGCTAGCTACAAGCGAGGGTCCCTGGTTCGAGTCCTGGTGGTGACAGTCAATTTTTTCTTCAGACTTTTCCCGTTTGTCTCTTTCCCTCAAAACCAGTTAATATTTTATGACTTGGGGCTCCCCGCGTGCTAGTTTGTACGTGAAGTGTGTGGGTACAGTGAGGGCTGCGTCCCACCCGCCTGTTTGGATTCACAGGAAGTGTGAGTTACGAAGTCTGAAGAAAACGTTGAACAGTCTCTGCTTGGATGGCGACTACACCATAGCTCAGTGGTAAGAGCATCGCTAGCTACAAGCGAGGGTCCCTGGTTCGAGTCCTGGTGCTGACAGTCAATTTTTTCTCCAGACTTTTCCCGTTTGTGTCTTTCCCTCAAACTAGTGAAGAAACTAACAGAGTGAGACTTACTCGGCTAGGTCTGGGAATGACTGAAATAGCAAATACAAACATCCGGCAGAGAATGCAAAGAGCGCGCCAAGCAGCAAGAAGGATTTCCGCCGTTTTCCGATCATGCCTGTTTCTCTCGTTGATTCACCTGCGGATGAAATAGAAGGGAACAGACAATGTTTTCGTGCTCAGATTTATGAACAAAGTGATCACTGCTTTTATGTGGTATAGATGCTGGCCTAGCGGTTAAAAAAACCCCAGAGGTCTATACTTTTGAAATGCACTATAAACCCGTATGTATATCAAAACGGCAGAAATATATTTCAGATGTGCACGTGCATAATTATGGATTTCAGATGTACATGTACCGCAAAGTCTTGTATAAAAGCCGCACTTGAATAGAAGCCGCAATTTTGGGCCCATCAAATCACATAATGCCTGGTTTTTGTGTTGACATACATAGAAGTACCTGTCTTGTATAGAAGCCTGCAAAATTTCACCAAGAAAGTCATAGAAGCTGCGGCTTTTATACAAGACGTTACGGTATGTGTCATAAACATGTACATACGTCATACACACTGTTGTGAATTCCAGCAGAAATCCAAGAGAGCTCGATACCGGGAAGGTAGAGCCGTGACACACTAGTCAGAACAACAGATGGCTTGATCAGTCACAACTTAAAGTTTCATGCCATCTCAGGCACTCATCAGGTGATATACGTCATACATGTATAGTTCAAGCCTGAGGCGTCCGGATAAGAGACATGTGAGTGTACTCGTACTAGTACTTGCTTAAATCCGTATGTCGTACGTGCCGGGGAGCGAGGGCAACTTTCATACGTAAATCTCTCTACGGATTTCCGTAGGAAAGCTCTTTCCTACGTTGGGTCCTCCGTAGGACTTTTGAAATATTTTTTGCATTTTCCGCATTTGTCCATGGCAACGTTCAAGCCGCGCGAAACACAAGGTGCACACACCGTACATCACGTGCAAAATGAAATAAAAAACGCGGTTTCGGTTCATGGTGCATGCGGTGGGCGCATGCAGCCAGCGCGTCTCCAAAGCAACAACACATGTTTAGCAGTCGTGGAGAAATCACGTAGAGCGAAACCCAACAGCTCTGATTTTTACGTATGAAAATTCCGTGCAATTCCTACATTATTTTCATACGTAATTCCGTAGAGCGAAACCTCCCTATTAACAATTTTTTATGTTTTCATTTCAGCACTTTCCGAAGTAGAAAATGTTGGGTGTGATAAGCTTATCGAGTATAAAATACATGCTATGTCGGTGGCAAATCATGACAAACTGAAAGCCAAAGGGAGAAAGAGACAGGAGGATCGAGATAGAGACAACGGACTTGGAGATACATGTACACTTTGCGAGCATAAATCATCACAACACTCCTGTCCTGACTATAGTTCGAGTCTACATTATTTCGAGTCGAAACAACTCACCAGTACTTGTGGCCTTCACTGTGCTGGCATTGTCACTGGCATGAATAGGCGATCGAGGTCTCACCGACTGAGAAGAAACTGTACCATTCCGGACCGAAAGACTGCCGCTGGGCATTCTGTGTTCAAGACGCCACAGATCAGAGTTCCACTCTTTGAAACGGCCAGACTATTACATTTTTCCAAACCCAAGGTTTGCATGCTTGTTTGTTTTGAAGAAGAGAGTGCACGGTATAGCCACGTGGATCCACGGATGCAAAAAAAACTGTGACTATCATTATTTTTACGAGTCTAGTCTGTGCATATGTGGCCGTGATTATTATGATGACGTCAAACATGATGATTATTTTTGGTGCGTGCTGTGTGAAGTACGGTACCAGATAGTGCTGGGTGATCATCAACATGATCAAGGTGACGGTTGGATCGGATTCAGCTATTTCAGGTGTGACTTTACCGTATTATTTTCATATTTTAATAGGGCAGTCCCCACGGACTCAAGGTCATCTGCACCAGGATCACAGGCCAGCCACTCCCAGTATTACATTGTAGTGAGTGAATGTGTCTTCCCTGGCAACTCGGGCCTTGGTACAATGAAGCAAAATTTATTATGGAAGGACAGCCACTCAAACGTGTGCATGGTGTCATGGTGGGTTCATACCAGGGAGCCGTACAAAGGTTTATACGACTCCCTGATGCATACGGAAAACTGAATTGAAATAGATCCGAAAGTCAGCGTCGTCACTACTCCGCGGCCTGGCACTGTGACGTACATGTAACACTTAAACATCTCTTCTTACAGCCCTATCATGGCCTGTGGCAATGCACTCGAGTCCGCTCATGCAACGTGATAACGCAAAGCGCCCCAGCCGAAACACGTGCACAATAGGGGAACATTCCAAAGAGGTTGGATTCAACAATCAGTCGCGCAAAGTATTATAATATTATGACTCATATGAGATTCCGACTCCGTCTGCTCGCACTCGGGGCAAAACAAAAAAATAATTTCTTTCTTATCTTGGATCATGGAATGCAAACTTATAAAAATAATAAGACCCTAGAAGGGTCTTGGACAACTCTTATCTCTACATTGGTGAAAAACGGTGAAAACGGTAAAGCACACGCACACACACACACACACACACACACACACACACACACACACACACACACACACACACACACACACCACACCACACACCACACACACACACACAGGGCTCCTAAAGTATCTGAAAAAGGGGCAGCACAGAAGAAAGAATGAGAAGGAACAGCAGCTGATACTAGAGTGTAGAAGATTAAAAGGAGCCAGGACAGCTGACGGCAAGGGGCGACATCGCTGAGGAATGCTAAAATAAAATAAAATTGAATTGACGGTGGCTGTGGGCCAGGACGGACAGGCTATTACCGGTCAAGGAAACCTGGTGGTACAAGCTGGTCATTCTAGAAAGGTCAATCAACAAACTTGTGATCAGCAGGCAAATAATGCCGCTTCGGTCTAGGGTGCTGACAAAACGGAAGAGTCTAATGACCACGTCCCAAAGTGGGCGAGTCGTTTCGTTTCGAACATGTCGCTAATAGCTTGTGGTTCGTAGGTAATGCCTAATAGGGCTCCAATGTCATGTGACATAGGAGCAGAGCATAATTAAATTTAAAAAACTACACAACACTGTAGTGGAGGTCACTACATGTAGAAGGTGGTAAGTACCGGTAGGACTGCTAAGAGGAGAGAGTACTCGTGTATTCTCCTCGTGATTTCAACATAGGACGAGGCACCGCGGGTAACACGTGCAGGCTACCCAGCGGCCTAGGACGGGAGTTTCAAGCCGTAGAAGTCGACGGCGGTGTCGCGGAAAATGCGCCGCAGGTCGGCGTCACTGCAGCCCGCGGCAACGGCCAGGTCGTGATAGGCCTGATAGACTTTGGCGTAGGAATCGGCCGCCAGCAGACAGACGGGCCAGTCAGACCCGTACATGGTGCGCTCCGCACCGAACAGCCCGATGATGTACTGCAGAACAGCAGTTGCAGGAGAACAGCACACAGGAGGAGAAGAAGAGATCAGCTTGTGCACTGCCCGCTGTGTACATGTACATGTTATTAACATGGAAGGCGATTGATTACACTATGGCCTATAGGCAGTCTGTAGATAGTGCCAGTCATTCCTTCATCAGACGGTGTATTCCAGCACATGTGCTACACACACATGTGCATCCATCGTAGCCTTGGATAATACCAATACCCACAGCATGTTACCCAGCGCTAAGCGGCCCATCACGTTTTTAATCAGACTGTAAGAAAGGCTGACACCCTTCCTCCCCACCCCCCCCCCCCCACCCCCCCACACACACACACACGCACCCGCGGTAGACAACTTAACTTACTGTTGCGTAATCCTGGAGGTCGGACATGGTCCATGAGGCATGATTGGCTTCAGTCACAAAACCAGACCTACAATTCACCAGGCAGAATGACATCACGAGGAAAGTTACAGACAGGTCTGTTCACAGTACAACGTAAACAGCAACTACATGTACTTCTACTACGAATGGCAACGATTTGCTCTTTAATACTGGTGTGAATATGTTAAACGTTAAAACGTATTCACACCAGTAAGAACAGCACATTGAAGCCCGTCCAAGCCAATCACTATATTGTAAGTCCTCCAAACCCTATGGTCCCGCTGTACAGGTAGTCTCTCTAACCCAGATCAGTCGACTGGACACGGTGCCCTTCAATCTTAGTGTTCGTGGTACTCTGGGACAGGTGGTCACCTTATCAGCGTGTTCCGCTTGACAGGTTTCATTGAAACGAAAGGCGAATAGAATACCAGCGCATAGGCCGAGCGCTCACTTTCAGATGTAAAAGCCTTTTAATCAGCGCATGCTTGCACAGCTCTGGACTCACAGCTTTACGTAGACGTTGGGGAACACGGCGCACTTGGTGATGTCGTCCTTCCAGGGTTGCACCACGCCGTCCTTGATGAGCGGCTTGGCAATGTGGTCAATGACAAATTTTAACCTACGATGATGGATCACGATGAACAACGAATCAACACAAGACAGTGAAATGAAAGTACAGTGTGCACAGTCGTGACCAGAGAAATCAGACCCGCAAGTCGAATGTACATCGTACCAGAGTTCCACTGCATTGCATCATGGATTGTTTCAGTATAAAGGAGAGTGGATGTTGAGCTATGAACATGACTCACTACCTACTGTACCCACCAGCAATGCCTCGATGACGTGTGTATGAAGTCATGAGTGTGCAATTTATCATTTTCATAGCTGTTTTTAAAATTGCTGTCTCCACACACAAATTTCGGATGTTGAGTTCTCATCCATTCTCGTAGTTGTACATGCAGGGGATGATCACCAGGAGGGAAATTGTCAAATTGACATGAAATATTTTCGTTCCAATACTCAGAGCTAATATTGCGTACCATAGTGACGCGCATATAAGCGCATGTGCCTATACCCGGGCATAAGCGCACCCTCACAAATAAGCGCATGGGCTTATAAGTGAACCTAAATGCAATTCCATCCGCGACACAAAAACACCATGTTCACATAGTTCAATGTGCATTGCGGTGTTGCACAATGTGCATAATTATGCATGGTACCGGTACGCTAGCAGCTCAAGCGCATGCGCCTATGTGTGAGACAAAACGACCTGCCAAAAATAGCAAATAACGCAAAAACTCACTCATAAGCGCACGTGCCTTTATGTGCGTCACTACGGTATGTATGCGTGTGGAAGACCATCACACGTTCCAGTTATTTACCAACTGGCAAGCCTTGGCAATCGGTTAGGATTTGTCGCTAAAAGAGTGGAAGCTGTACAAGTGATACAAACTACGAATTGTACAGATAAATCGATTTTTTTTACACAGGCTGAGTGGAATCTTACTTGGGGAACTCTTTTGCAATAGCTGGGATTGCTGGCAGGTTGGGCGGTCTGCCAGGCACAAACAGACAGGAGTAGAGAGAACACATTCACTTAGTTCAAGAACACACAATTACCATGATATCTGATGAGTGCGAACATCAGAGCAAAACCTGGTTCCCGGCTAGTCATTGCTTGTGTTTGAGGTTTTTTTGTATAGGTGCAAGTACCGTAAAGTCTTGTATAAAAGCCGCACTTGAATACAAGCCGCAATTTTGGGCCCATCAAATCACACATAAGCCTGGTTTTAGTGTTGACATGCATAGAAATACCTGTCTTGTATAGAAGCCTGTCTCACAGAAGCCTGCAAATTTTCACCAAGAAAGTCATAGAAGCCGCGGCTTTTATACAAGACTTTACGGTAATCGATGCAATTAATGCGCAACAATATTGCATTCATCGATAAAAGCATTTATTCCTGACATAAGATAGCTGTGCACTCTGCAGTATTGGTGGACTTTCCGCTTCTGCTTCCCTGTACACACTACTACCACTATCACCTCTAGCACAATACGTAAGCCTAGCTAGACATATGACGGTGGATTGCAGCAGATGTGCACACCAGATCAGGTGCAAAGTTACATTTTACCTCAATAGGAGATCGAACGTCACGCCTTTCTCTTCCAACACACCTAAAGTTGAGGCAGAGACCGACAGACAGACAGGCAGGTTGGCAAAAGCTTGAGTATGATATCCATACGAATTCTGTCTCAAAACCGGCAAATGAGTGTACATCTACATATCATTTTGCACAGAACGACTTCAAATGTTAACGATTTTAATCGTTAGAATTAATTGTTCTTGACTAGTTAGGAGGGAAAGACACAAACGGGGAAGGTCTGAAGAAAAAATTGACTGTCACCACCAGGACTCAAACCAGGGACCCTCGCTTGTAGCTAGCGATGCTCTAACCACTGAGCTATGGTGTAGTCGTCATCCCAGCAGAGACCGTTCAACACTTTCTTCAGACTTTGTAACTCACACTTCCTGTGAATCCATTGTTCGTTAACATTTACTGGTCTTACAGTATGTGGTGGGACAAATCTAGGGTGTCTTACCCAAACCACGTCGGACATCTTCTCTCAAGATCCAGTTGTGATCTGCTTCGTCATGGATGATATGACGAATACCACAGAACTTGGAGTGCGTCTTCAGATTGTCAATGAGATCACCGACCTGGAGCCAGGTGTACAAAACCAAATGCCAAACGGCTGCAAAGGTTATTGTGTGTTCACACTCATGTTTGTGCACGTGCATTCACAGGAAAGGTAACAGATAGAGAAACAGGACAAGAGAAAAAGAGAAAGGGTGAGATAGATAGGGAGAGAGATATATATAGAGAGAGAGAGATAGAGATCGAGAGAGAGAGATAGAGATCGAGAGAGAGAGAGAGGGAGAGAGAGAGCGGCAGGGAGAGAGAGAGAGAGAGAGAGAGAGAGAGAGAGAGAGAGAGAGAGAGAGAAAGAGCGACAGGGAGAGAGAGAGAGAGAGAGAGACAGAGAGAGGGAGAGAGAGTACCTTTGGGTCGGTAAGGTCTACCCATGCAACAACACCAGCTACGGTTGGGACATCCTCCACCAGTTTCAGGATCCAAGCTGCAAGAAGACAGCCCCACCGAAAAAACTAGTATAAGTGGCAAGAGTTTTCTCAACAAGATCAACACCATAGAGAAAGGGTGGTAACACACACACCTGGTGAAGTACCGGTACATGCACGCCTGACTACAAAACGCTCTCTAAGCTGCAAAGTTCTGGCAAAGAGTGCTCCTTTTATCATTGCCCTCATCGGTTTGCACATGGTGCCTAGTCAATGTCTGGCTGGGTGATATCGCCATGCCAAGCTGTTACATCACTTTTAACGCCATTTCGCCAGGTGCGTTTTGACCACCATTTCAGGTTCTACCGTACCGCTTCTATGGTTGTAGCCAATGAGCGACGTTTACGCGGTGGCCTTGATGAGCCGATAAAGGGCACCTAGGAAAACACGGTAGCAATAAAGCCTGCCGTCAATGGCACCCCGTACTCTGTCAGCCTAGCTCGGCAGGGGTCTGTGGCAGTTTTTCGTTGTCAGCTCAGATCGCATCTCACATTCGGCTGTAAACATGCTCTGGTACCTGGAAACAGCAAAAGGGCAAATTCAGGCCGCAGAACTCGTAATCCGCATGCGCGGGCAATCGTTCATTCTCTTTCCTTTTGAGTCAGTTTTCGACGGATTTGGTGGTTTTGGTAGTTTGTGTAACCTTTCGTATATTGTTGATATGGAGCCTGCTGCCAAAAAGAGATTCGTGGCCGCCTCTGACGAGGATATTACAGAGATTTTGAATTTGAGCCAAAGAGTACCTAAGTCCACAAAGGACACGACCTCTACGTGGCTGTCGATGTTGGAAAAAAGTTTGAAGGACAACAATCTGTAATGCCACCTGCGGAAGTGCACCCAAGAGGAGCTGAACAATGTGGTCTGCCGTTGCTATGCTTCCATGAGACGGAAAGACGGCGGCTACTACCAATAGCCCGGGTACCATGGTTTCCGGGCTGCCATCCAGCGCCAGTTTACAAGTCATGACCTTCAGCTCAACGTCCACACTGACGTTGAGTTCCAGAAATCCAATGATGTTCTGGATGGCGTTCTGAAAAAGAACAAACGTGAAGGATACAGTAATCCTGTCCAACACAAAGATCCAATCACCGACATTCACACGGACAAGATATCTTATTTCTTTGAAAGAAGCGAAACGGCGGAGAACCTGATCAGGCATGTTTGGGTTTTCCTCAAACTCCATCTTGGCCTCCGTGGTCGCGAGGTCCAGCGCAAGATACCGGAGGCCGATATTAGAATTCGGCACCGGTGACCATGGCGAGTTTGCGCGCCTCTCGGCGGACTTTGCTACTAAAAATTATCAAGGCGGGCGCGGGTCTGATCGTCGCGACGCCTGTGCGGGCAAAATCACGGACCAGGCTCAACTGCTGTCATTAAGAATGATGATGCCACAACTGCACCCTAACCGTCCTGCTCTTTTTCAGAGAGCAAAGCAGAATTATGCAACCCAAGATAGAGTATGGTTCTGCAACTCGCCACTCGGCAAGACCATTCTCGGCAATATGATGCCCGAGATTTCAAAGGCCGCCCAACTGACACAGATCTACACCAACCACTGTCTGTGCGCTACTGTTGTGTCGATGTTGCCTGGTGAGGGCAGTGAGCAACGGCACATAATGGCATTGACTGGCCACCGTAGCTCTAACAGCCTGACGTCGTATACGCGGTCGACAACTGCACAAGAAAGACCTATGTCAGACACACTAGCTGTTAAGAAGAGAAACGAAGCAGCACACGGCAGCACAGCAAAGGCCGAGATCGCACAGCCTGAGTCCGTGCCCTTGACCGATGTGTTCCCTGGATTTACAGATACGGAGATCGACCTGCTGTCTAGGGACTGGGATAACACATCAACAGCCAGTGTTACACCAGGTCCCAAAACAGCCAGCAGCATCAGTTCAGCTCCTCTGCCAGCAGCCAGCAGAATCTGTTCAGCTCCTCTGCCAGCAGCCAGCAGCATCAGTTCTGCTCCTCTGCCTGTCTCGTTACGGCCACCACAGCCAGACAGCCAGACATGCGATGTGATCGACAGTTGGATTCAGGAAGCAACTGCAACGGAGTTGACGCAGATAGAAACTCCTCGTCCGCAACAGTTCTTCCGGGGAGCAAACTTCCAGGGGGGCTAATATCACATTTAATTTTAATATCAAATAGTTCTACAGCTTCTCTGTACCTGTACATACTTTTTTTCTGAAGCTTCGTATACAGGCCTTAACAAATTTGATCCTCGTCGAAATTATTGTTTAACTTTCTTATTTATCTCGGATGGTGAGCCAATTAAATTATTGTGAAAAGAAGAAGGACAAAATGTCAAAATCGCACTCGCTGACTGTATAAGATCTGGTTACGTTGGTGGACAGTTAGTCATAACTCGTAACATTTCGTCCTTCTTCTTTTCACAATAATTTCTTATTTATAGTAAAGAAAAAGGACCAAGAAACTACAAGTTACGCTATAATGTCCACTAACATCACCAGTTACTAAACAATCAGCTCTTATTATCAGTTTGTTTCTTTGTTATGATTTCTTGTTTTTTTCACTCGTTTTTTTAAAATTATTTTTAATTAAAAATTACTACTGTATAGCAGGAAATTTTCGGACGGAAATATTTTCGGACAAAGCCGAATTTCGACCTTTCGTACGGATTTTATTTTCGTACAGTGCTGCATGCTAAATGCACGTGTTCGCAAGCAGTACCCATGTACAGTGCACATAAAGTCACATGAACAAATTTTAGTACGGAATTACTTTTAGTACAAAAAGGCGGTGTAAGAAATCGTACGAAAATATATTCCATCCGAAAATTTCCTGCTATACAGTATTTCAAATTTGGACTTCACGGAGAATTTCAAGTTTTTAGGAAATTAGAGGCCACATGCCACGTACTGCTCTTTTCTCTCCGAAACTCAACACTTGCAAGCCAGATATGAAGAAAGAAAAAATCATCAGTCACACCACCGGGACTCGAACCAGGGACCTTGCTATTCGCGAGCAATGCTCTAACCAACTGAGCTACAGTATGACTCTTATTCACAGTGATGGTAAATTTATCCTTCTTCGATCAATCCATATCTGGCTTGCATCTTACTGGCAACCCCATGTTATCAAGCGAATGGCCGAGGGCCCTCTTGATTGGTGTGAGTTGCCAGTATGATGCAAGCCAGATATGGATTGATCGAAGAAGGATAGATTTACCATCACTGTGGGTAAGAGTCATACTGTAGCTCAGTTGGTTAGAGCATTGCTCGCGAATAGCAAGGTCCCTGGTTCGAGTCCCGGTGGTGTGCCTGATGATTTTTTCTTTCTTTCATATCTGGCTTGCAAGTGTTGAGTTTCGGAGAGAAAAGAGCAGCACGTGGCATGTGGCCTCTAATTTCCTAAAAATTACTAGTTGGTGCATTTTTAGCGCTACGTGGTTTATAATTTCACTTTTTCTTGATTTTGTTTTTAGCGCTTTCGGGCACTAATCTCATAGTCCAGTCTGGAAATGTACTACTCTGACTCCCGACTGAGATCCAGTGTGATCAGTCAAATAATCTCGCAGTCGTAGTCCAGTCGAGCCACGACGTCCCCGACCTCCACCCCTATATGGTACCGCGCTTATACTGTAAAACGTGTAATTTTAGGTGCATTAAAATTTTGGTGGCAGGCACCTGCCAGGTTTCAGGTGTAATTTAGAATTAGGTGACCAGCGTTCCCTTCACATACAGTGCATACTCTAGTGCCTTTTAGGTGCCTGGTTTCTCTCCGAAATCACCGAAATTAAAGTTACACCGAAAATTACATGTTTTACAGTATACGCGGCGCAAAGAAAGTGAAAACCTGAAACACGATCATAGAGGTCTGGCAGGACTTTTCGCCTTCATCAAGGCCTCGTGCGTACGGCCGCGGGTGCAGGCATCGGCGCTGCGCACCTTGGCCTGCACCCTTGGCCGTGCGCATTCGGCCTTGATTCAGCCGTAAAGTCCTGCTGGACCTCTATGACTGTCTACTTCTCTATCACGTTTAACGCTGCATTGCAGTCTTCACATCATTCCAGTTGGACCAGTGCAATCGTGCAAACAAGTGAAGCACCACAAACCATCGCAAACAGCGCCGTGCTACTCCGCAAATCTACACTTGAGGATCAAGCAACGTGCCGTGTTGCACCAAGTAGGCCAGTAAAGTGCCACTGCATCTGGGCAATCAACTTCACATCCTCATGCCCCCCCCCCCCCCCCCCCCCGGACCAAGAACAATACATAAGCTCCCCTACCCCCACCGGGAGTGTGCGACTATGCATATGGGGTCTCCGCCGGCGGAAACTCACATCACGTGGTCCACGGGTCGGTTTCGCATTATGTAAAATAGGTGTCGGGTGATACGCAGTCTCGGCCTGTCATAGATTTCTGTTCATTTTCCTGCACGGAGTGCTATTTTCACATTTCCATCTACGCTAGAAACACGCACAAGGAGACCATGAATGACACCACGGAAACATCATGTAGCAAGATATTGAATATAGCTAACAATTAGAAATAAGAACAAGTGCATCTTCCTCAACATTCTCTCCCGTGATCACCATCGGTCGACGTACGTATTGCTTTCCTTTTCCATCCCCGCTTCCACCTTACGGGATATCTGCGCTTAGTTATTCCTTCGCCGCAAAGCATATATACTACGATGCCAGCCATGCATTACTGTGGCCAAATATTCCAAAACGCATACGAACGTCAAATCCAGCGCACTTGCAGAACACAGAAAATATTATCGTGACAACATGAAACAAACACAACAGCAACACGTTAACACACTGTTCTTCTTACTGTACGTCAACAAATATTCGGTGCATATTTTATTTTCGGCTATTTTCGGCCGGGGCATTTTTGACCGAAATTTTGTCGCGGCCGAAATTTTGTTTTGCCCGGTTCAGTGTGACTGTGTATACAGGCAGCAGCAATACAGGCCGAAAATTTGAATGGGGCCAACATTTGTAGACTTACAGCAAGAGTATAATTTATAACCCCCCAAGAGTGTGCAACTCACGAAACCCTTTCTGTGGGGTACGCCGACGGCGAAAACTCACATCACGTGGTGTAGTGTCACAGTTGTACGTTTCCAGTCCGTTTTTAGCGAGCAGTGGAGTCATAAAAAAAGCACACTCTGACAGGAACTCGCTGCGCGTATGCAAATCCCCAGTATGATCATGGCAGATATTCGGATTGCGCGCACGCTATCCTTCGTTTGTACGTAGTACGAAATGTACCTGAGACACGTGATGTGAGTTTTCGCCGTCGGAGACCCCATATGCAGAGTTGCACACTCTTGGGGGGTTATATTCTCTTGGTTACAGTACTGTATGTGCTATTGTGACTATTGTTTTAATACGAAATAGTGGCAGCGACTTCGGCGGCGATGATTACATAGGAAAGGTGTTTGCGCCCCACACCGGAGCTCGCACTTTCCCGCCGACTTTACTTGACACTTGACTGACTCAAGACTGCCATCCAGAGCACACGAGAAGTCCGCCGTCACGTGAAAAGAGTCAAGTCGTCGGAAAAGTGCGAGCTCCGGTGTGGGGAGCAAACACCATGGTGACTAATAATAAACTAGGGATGAAACGATCATCCATTTCTTCTTATCGAGTACCGTTTATTATAAACGATCGAGTTATCATAAAACGAGTACTCTAATTTCACAAATTTTCGGTGTACTTTTATTTTCGGTACTTTCGGTGCATCTGCTTCATACCTAAAATTTCAATACACCGAACAAACACTAACACACATAATCCAATAGGGAACAGCTTCCCTGTACCGAAAAATTTCTGTTCACCTAACCTGGCCTTTTGCCCTCATACCGAAAATATTGAGCACCGAAAATTTCTGAAATTAGAGTATGCTGGATATGTATGGCATATCAAAATGACCCTGGTCTCCGGAACATGACAATAGTGCATGAATGACTTGTCCATACTGTAAAGTACAGTATGCAACTATATGTAGTATGCGCTCGTACATGTATCAGCAAGTCAAATGTTCGGTTCGCGCGTGTCAAAACGAAAATCAAGTCGAAAATGAAGGTGGTACACACAGGCACTGGATCCCAAAGGTGCGAAGGTGACTAGAAAAAGGTGTGAATTTTGTCACCTTGGATGACACACAGTGCTGGGGTTAACTATGCAGTGCAGACAGTGTGACTTTCAGCTAGTACTATACACAGGTATGCATATGAAGGGCTTCATTGCAAAACGAGATAAATCCATTTTGACCAATTTTCAGGAGGAGCGATTTTCTGTGATCAACAACTGGGTGGGTTTGGGTCAAATCTAACTTAGCAGATGAGAAGAGTAGGGTGATGTATGCAAATGCAGGCTTTCTCAAAAATCAAGAGCCATCCATTTTCTCAAGCAAGGTGATTCTTCAATATTTTCGGGCCAAACCAGACCAGTTCGCCGGACTAATCAGTATTATGAGATTAGAAAATACAAGTGCAACGACTTCACTGAGTTCGGAACTCTGAAGGAGCTCAGCAGCAACAGCACTGCCAGCAGCAGCGTTGTCCCTCACTGACGCCTCTAGCAGCATACTGCCATTTTCAGTTTCGAAAGCGAAAAAACAACAGCTACGAAGAAGATGATACAAAAAGAACGAAATGACAACGTAGATGTAGCTGCTACAAAGCAACAACACGAAAACACTGTACTTTGAACTCTGACATCGACATTTTGCACGGACTCAGTTTGTAGTCGCGATGTTTGCCACATGCTGCGCCAGCACTCGCTGGCTTGTCACAGGTCACGCTGGCCCGCGCGACAGGATATGTCGCACTTTGCTCGAAAACATCGGTGGTGTTTATCGCGTTTTGCAGTAGAACGTCAACTTCAACGTTGATTTTCAGTGGGATATGTCTCGTTTTGGAGAATTTTTTTTGGCCACCAGATGCAGTGATCCCTACTGATTCGATTGACACCGAAAACGCCATATGCATGAGATTGGCGTTTAGCGCGTTTTGCAATGAAGCCATTCATATGTACAAGTACTGCATACTCGATAACAGCATAACGAGTAGCGATCATAGACATAACGAGTAAGTTCCGAGTAATCGGTGTGATCGTTTCATCCCCAGACTGACTATGAGAAAACAAGCACGACAGCAACAGGAGTTCACGTACCGTTCTCCTCGTACCCATGGAACACCTGCACAAACACCGTGTGCTTGACCGGCGTGTCGGCAATGGCCGCCTTCAGATCAGGAAACAGGTAGGTTTGGCGAAGGACGGTGTCTTTCGGCGGGAACCCATCGTACTGGAACTTCTCCAGATCCCAGAAATCTAGTGTGCGCAGAGAGAATAGAGACATTGCAAGCATGCAGACTACAGTCAAACTTCAGTGTGCCGTACATGCACTTCCAAGGCATCCCATATCAGTACTATATTTTAGCAGTGGTACTCTGTAGGTGCAATGGCTGGACAAGGATATGTAGCGCGTCTTAAAACAAGTACTTACTGCATATCCAATGAAAAGAGAAAAGTATGTTACATCTGGGTACTGTGTAGTGAAGGTTACACTGCCATGGAAAGCGTGTCTAGTACACATGTGACACACGCCGTATCATGGCGTATGTGAATTCGTACGAGCTTGCTAAGGCGAGACCAAAATAAAATCGAGATTCCTGGGCAGGACTCATGTGAAATTGGTGCGGGCGGGCGGATTTTTAATTTTTTAAATCTTCTTCCATTGTATGTATGTATGCATACCATGCTGAACTTTTTTTACAGTATTTTCCGGTAATTTTTATTCATTTTTTACAGAAAACATCTACGCGGTTTACCCGTTCAATTTTTCTATATTTCGGCCAATGATGGCCCTGATCTGTACATCAGGGAGTCGTACAAGCCCGGGTTTGTGTGACTCCACGTCACAGATCTACTCACACGATCAGTACTGTACATGTACATGGACTGTTGAAAAAATTGGCTTTGGCTCGATTTTGGTGCGGGAGGCCTCGAGGGCCCGGGAATCTCTATTTTATTTTGGTCTCGCCTAAATAAAAGACGTGCTTTTGAGGGTTTTCGCCCCGTGGAACCTCTGAATAATCTCGGTCACTGTACTACACAATCACTTGGTAATTTCTGCGGGGCAAGTTCATTGAACGCACCACGATACTAGCCCAGCACAGTTCAAAGGTCGTGAACCATGCAAAACCACGTATACAAACATGCTACAGTCTAGAGTTGCCTGCACTGTTCCACTGTGCCTGCTAAATATGGGACAAGCTGCTCATCAGAAAGATTGCGATCACATAAAAGGATGAGACCATAAACCCACACGAGTTCGGGACAGCGGAGTTCGTCGTTGGTCATTTTCGATGAGTCTAGGAACCCGCGATCGGAAATGTTTTAAAAACAGCAGCGCCCGTGACACCGGAATTTACCGTATTTTGACATCATGGTGCCCTACACAAAAATTGCTCTGTCCGGAACCTGGCCCGGCATATGCTGAATTGCACACTCTGGTTTATGTACTCTATAAGCAGAAATTTCGTCGGTCAATAATTTCGTCCTACTCCAAAGAAAGGGAGTTTGTCCGGTTGTAAATTTCGTCCATGGATCATAAGAGTGTATTGAAAAGCTGGACAAATCGATATTAGTTCGGCATTTTATTTAGTCCCACAGCTCCTTGGACGAAAAAGACAAAATGAAATTCCAGACGAATATTTCTGCCTGTACAGTACTCTTGGTTTTACGCATACCAGCAGGTGGCAATGGGTCTGGATAAATTCATGAGGTAAGAGTGTAAGGATGCAGTACACCAATGTTCTGCACAGTACATTGTATTATTTATTTTTATTCGTATTGGCAGCAGCCAATGCGAAACGAGCCAGCCATGGTAACAAAAAGAAAACAGGAAGATATACTATCGCCTATAGCGTTGGTCTTTGATTTTGAGCATTTTATCACTACATTAAAGCGATACGAGAGAGCTTGGAAGCTCAGGGCCCTACGCTATGCTTTTTTGCCTTGATGACCTAGACAAAAAAAGCATAGGGATGTTATAAATTCTTTAAAAAATTCCTTTTTTTTAAGACATAACCTGGGATTCGAACCAGACATCCCGTCGACTCCAGAACGCCCGTGATCGGCAGAGTCAGCGCCTGTCACAGGAAACGTCGGACGACACAAATGCAAGAAATGAGCATAGGAGGCTTGATCGTGCTGATTCGCTTCGCGCTACTGCAGCTGCGCACATGGAAACTGTGCGGTCTATGGTAGAGGAAATAAATCATGCAATGGTGTGCTCTTTGACGCGTGAAGAGCGCCAGCAGTATAGCCACCTATTGCAATCTTGCAGGGAAGATAACGTTGACGTAGCTCTGCTGATGTCTGTCCTGACGTTTCCTGGGACCGGCGCTGACTCTGCCGATCACGGGCGTTCTGGACTCGACGGGATGTCTCTTCCGGCGTTTCCTGGGACTGGCGCTGACTCTGCCGATCACAGGCGTTCTGGAGTCGACGGGATCTCTCCTCCGACGTTTCCTGTGACCGGCGCTGAATCGCCCGTTCACGCTTATTTTGGAGACGGAGGGATCTCTCTTCCAAAGTATGTTTTTGCTGACGCATCCTATCACCTATTCCGCAACTAATCCATTCTAATTTTATTTCCTCCTCGTCTCCCTATTTCTTACCAAATCTCCCTCTACATCAGGGAGTCGTATACATATACATACGAATATTGTGGCCAGCTGTTTGTGGCCAGCTACGGGACAGATACGGGAGCCAGCAGATATTGTGGCCAGCTGTTATGTACAATCCTGTAGAGCCTTTGTAGTCACAGATACGGGACAGATACGGGATAGCGCCAGGCGTGACACAAACAAACAAACAAACACACAAACAAACAAATACCAAATTAAAGCTGTGTGGACCCTGGCTAGCGCCAGACGTTACTGAAGTAACGTCTTCTGCATAGCTACGGGAATAATATTACTATGACCGATACTGTAGAGGCAGAAAATTTCGTCGGTCAATAATTTCGTCCAACTCCAAAGAAAAGGAGTTCGTCCGGTTGAAAATTTCGTCCATGGATCATAAGAGTGTATAGAAAAGCTGGACAAATCGATATTCGTCCTACATATAATTTAGTCTAAAAGCTCCTTGGACGAAAAAGACGAAATTAAATTCCAGACGAATATTTCTGCTTATACAGTACTGCATGTAACGTTACTGTACGCGAGTGGGGCATCAAAAGACTCAGCGCGCCGTGCACATACACACTGCATAGCTAGTTGCAGCGCAGATCGACGTGCTGTGAGAACTGCACCCTATCATGCCTGTGCAACCAAGGCTCCTGACACACACACAACGTCAGCATATCCTCACAATGGAGGTATTTTGGACAACTAACACTACAGGTAGAACTCACGAAACAACACTGGGAGCAAAATTTTCACAAAGAAGTAACTTCCTGTTCGCCTCTTGACACCACTTGATTCCACATCAATTACTTTAGCCGATGCAAAAATAATGTAGTAGAGGTCTTTTGAAAATAGAATTTGATCACTATAGGCGATATATTACTATAGACGATTATTACTTTACGCGGTAACTTAACTGTGTATACTTTAATAGGTATAATAATAAATAATAATAATAACACAGATACGCGTACAACATGCACAGCCGTGCTATACATGCTTCCGCTGCTGTTCTCTAGCTCTGTCCATTATGTGTGTCAATATCCGGCATGCGAAACAGCAAGAGTACATGAAAACCAGAGTGTGCAGCTCGGATGGGTTGCTGTCACGGCGGAATTCCGTGATTACATCATTTTAGTGATGTAGCGCGTACAAGCAGGATTCAAGCAGGTCTCTGTCTGCACAACTGCAGTTCAGTTGTACGCACTACGCCATTTCCCGCCTCAGATCTGCGCCAAATATGATGTAATCGCAGAATTCCGCCGTGACAGACACCCATAGCAGAAAAGGCCCCAAGCTGCACACTCTGGTTTTCATGTACTCTTGGAAACTGTTACCCTGTAACCCATTTTTTCCATTTCCAAAATTGTCTTGCCATGCAAAGTGCAACGTACAGGGCGAGCCCGCGACTTCACCCCAGACAAATGTGCCTTTATAGAGGATTCACACGACGCGCAAACTCACGTGTGTGGCACTCTTTTTACTCGTGTGACCCTAGCGCGTGCAAAATCTTGATAAACTTGATCGACGGTCCTAGGCCCACGTTCGTGCTTTGCGCGTGTAAAACAGCGAGAGTACTTGAGTATGGTACTCAAGTTCATTAGTACACAGACGCATGCGAGATTTGCACGGGTCTGTTGTCTGTGTGAATCCGATGGGCAGCTTGTCCGCTTTTATGCAAACGTGTTTTCGTTCATTTTCACGTCGTGCGAATACCCTATAATGAACCCTCTAGTAGTGACTATCGACTGCTTTTTCGTTGAATGTAATGAAAAAACGCAAAAATCTACAAATGCGTAGGGGGCGGCACTTTTTCACAGGGGGGCGCTGCGCCCCCTACCCCCCCCCCCCCCCACACCCCTTTGGCTAGAACCCTGTAGTAGTAATGATCAAAAGATGGAGGTATACGCACTGGCAGTGTTGTGGTATCGCCCACGACAATGCTAGCAAAAACATGCACAATTTGTGTAGCGCATGTTATCTTTTGCTAGCTACCTACTACAATGTCGGATTGGCCAGACTGATGGGACCATACATTCACTCGGGATTTTACTCCTAACGTACTACATTATAGTCGAGCAAAGCCCTACTACGCGTACGCTTGCCCTCCATCCTATAAATGACTGTGATACTAGTAATCAAATGATCTATGCTATGCCACGATAGTGCAATGTCAAAATGATTATCGCTTTGAATTTTTGACCACAAACTAACTAAATTTCAATACTCGACTCACGATGGTGAGAATCAACGTAGGACATCTTGCTGGACACTCTCCTCGCAGCGTTTCTTCGTCTCGATTGCAACTGATACGACTATTGGGCGTTGTGAGTGCCAATCATTTCGAATAACACTACAGAAGGAGACACACCCTGTCCATACCACCTAATTATTATTGCTAAACCTGCTGGGCACCGCCAGACGTTTTTCTTTGTTTGTTGGCATGAGGCGGTTCACATTCATTTTGTGCACTGATCACCAGATCACTGGCACGCCAACGGTCAACGCCTTTTGTACGTCTAGCTAGACGTCTGGCCGAGCTATAGCTATGCGCATACTGAGAAAGAATTTAAAAATTATTTGAAATCCGTGCGGATCATGATAACATGAACAGACGGAAAATGTTTGCATGTGGCGGGAATATTCAATACACATCCACGTGGTCCATTTTGCCCTGAATTGAAACGTTTGGCTTTGACTCTTTTTATTTTGACTTTGACTCGAAGTGAATAGCTTGCTTGCTTGTTGAAAGCTGTGTGTAGGGTGTGCTTTCGCACTGGCAGTATTAGTAGTAGTAATGTATACTACCAAGAGTAGATAAGCTCCTATTACTCTCTTCCTCAACTCCTCCAGTATAATACTAAGTCTTGTGTTCTGCCCTGTAGCTGCCTGGAGTCGACAATTGACAGTACATGTGTGAGAATGAACGCACTGCCTCCGTCAACCGTCCAGCGAATAGCCAGTGGTCAAGTTATAACGTCAGTCAGTGCTGCAGTGAAGGAGCTGGTGGAGAATTCCCTGGATGCAGGTGCCAGCAATATCACTGTGCGCTTGGTAAGATGTCCATTTGCTCTCCATCCAGAATTGAAAATAACAGCTGCTGTAGCAGTTGTGCGGGTAGTGGCATGTAGAGGAGAAAGAACGAAAGAGAATTTGTCACCACTGGAAGTACATGACATGTATGTAGCTACTGTCGTGGGCATGGAAATCCGGTCGCACGTCTAGCGACCCCAGGGCGCTGGCCGTGCAGCCGTGGATAAGCGGTACACACATGCATTTATGCGCTGCAGCGCCCTGGTTGCATCGGATCAACATGACTGTGCACTGCACGCAGCGTTCTGTACGCGCTCAGGGCGCCGGCCCAGGTCAATCGACTGGATTTCCATGTCCGCTACAGTACATAACGTTACCAGGTACATGTACCTAAAATTATACTTACGACACGTATACAATCATGTAGATCTAAGTATACTAATAAGAAAGGATTGAGAACCATTGCTCATTCACAACATCACCTCCAAACCAGCCAGTCACAAGCCCAGCATGCTGGGCACAACAGGACGTGCCAGTGGTGGTGGCCTTGGCGAAAAGTAGGAAGTTAAGCCTAAAATCAAATGTTCACCAGTTGTAGTCTTCGGGGTGCTGAGTCAAATGGTCTTGGCCCGAGGAACCTGAGACGCTCCCTTCCTCCTATATTCACAATCGAACTCGCGCACTTCCACCGAAACCGGGTGACTGCGCCCTACTAGATGGGGATTTGTATGCAAAATGTCACTAAAAGCGCCATTTCGTTCTTATAAAAGCACGGATGACCGCGATTGGCTGATATGTTGTAGTCTTTTGGACGCTGAGTCGACTGGTTTTGGTCCGAAAAGGCTGCGATGTAGCGTTCGGCCCTTTTTCCCAATCGAACATGGTTGAACAAGCGGTCACGTGCTCCTGCGTACACCAGTCACCGCGCCAGCAGGCGACAACTTTCACACCAAGGTTCAACTCAAAGGTTCAAAGGTTCAACTCGAGTGAGAGAAACTCGCCCAAACATGCTGTAAGTTCTAGCCTGCAGGAACGGCGACCAGGTGACTGGTGTACGCAGGAGCACGTGACCGCTTGTTCAGCCATGTTCGATTGGGAATAATGGCAGAACGCTACATCGCAGCCTTTTCTGACCAAAACCAGTCGACTCAGCGTCCAAAAGACTACACCATATCGGCCAATCGCGGTCATCCGTGCTTTCATAAGAACGAAATGGCGCTTTTAGTGACATTTTACATACAAATCCCCATCTAGTAGGGTGCAGTCACCCAGTTTCGGTGGAAGTGCGTGAGTTTGATTGGGAATAAAGAAGGAAGGGAGCGTCTCAGCTTCTTCGGACCAAAACCATTCAACTCAGCACCCCGAGGACTACAACTGGTGAATTTTTGATTTCAGGCTTAACTTCCCCTTTTAATGACCTGAGGTTCTTTGAAGAAGAGGTTTCAGTCAGTCGAGTGAGTCAGTAGGAAAAGCGCGAGCTCCCACGTAGGGAGCAACACACAATTCAAAGATTTCCTTTGCCCAGAGTAATAGGTCATTACTGCATCGAAGGGCATCGGGTGGGCAGAGGGCAATGGCGGACATGCTTTAGGATATGTTTCTTTCTTTTTTTCTCTGTTCTCTCTCTGCACGCTGCAGGAGAACTATGGCCTGGACGTGATAGAAGTGCGTGACAACGGCAGTGGGATATCGCCGTCGCAGGCATGCCATGTGGCGCTGGCGCACTACACCAGCAAGCTGTCGTCGCACGATGACCTGATGCACGTGCGCAGCTACGGCTTTCGCGGCGAAGCGCTCTCCTCGCTGTGCTGCGTTGCCACGGTGAAGATTACGTCGCGCACGGCCGATGATGATGTCGCCTCCCAGTACTCGCTGGATAAGCAAGGTCACATTGTGACGACAAAGGTAGACCTGCGTAGCAGAGTAGCAGTGCTTGTATAGGGATACAGTTTGGTGTAAAGGCACATCATATGTAACATACTGTGGACTATAAAATACTCAAGTATTTTCTCTCTATTTCTCTCTCCCCCCCCCCCCCCCACTCTCTCTCTCTCACTCTCTCTCCAGCCGTCTGCTGGGGATGTCGGTACAACTATCACTGCTCAGAATATCTTTGCTAATCTACCTGTACGGCGGCAAGTGTTCAAGACAGCTCGCCGCTGCAAGGAAGAGTTGCGTGAAGTCGAGGATCGTCTGCTTGGCCTAGCCCTAGCTGTGCCTGGCGTACGAATGCAGCTGGTCAACAACAAACAGGTTTGTGGACTGCGTATACAGGGATGTGATATCCGTACTAGTGAGCTACCTCACGTGATAGATCATTATCTTTCTACTCCTCTACTCTAAGTTGTATCAGCCGCGCATGCTTTTCCGTTGTGCTGCTGAGCTTCTCTGTCGTTCTAGTTCGGCGTTCTAGCTTTGATCTTGAAGTCAACAGTTCCCCTTTTGTCTTGTCCTGAACTGCTCTGGTGTGATCATAATATTTGGCGACGAAGTCCTTGATTCAGCTGCCACGATGAGCACAGTAAAATCATTGAACCCGTTTGATCTGGAACCGCCTGAGTCGGTTGGCCCTCGTTGGGAGAAATGGCTGGCTCGTTTCGATAATTATTTGATTGCAGCAAACATCACGGAAGACGAGCGGCAGAGAGCCCAACTCTTGCACGGTGGTGGTGAGGACGTGTTTGACGTCTACCTAACCTTTGACAGCAGTAGCATTACAAGTTACGACGACTTGAAGGATGCGTGAAACTTGCTAATGGCTGTTGCTTCACCAAGCTGGACCTCAGTCAAGCTTATCTCCAATTACCACTGGATGAACAGTCTAAACTTCTTACCACCATCAACACCACGAAGGGACTGTTTGTGTACAACCGACTGCCTTTTGGTGTGTCTTCGGCCCCGAGCATATTTCAACGTACGCTCGACCAATTGCTAGCTGGAATACCAATGGTCGTGATCTACTTGGATGACATCCTTGTCTCTGGCACAACTCGTGAAGAACACGACAAACATCTGAACATGGTTCTGGAACGTCTCAACGCAGCTGGATTGCGTTTGAACCGCACCAAATGTTCATTTGCAAGGTCCTCTGTGACATTCTTAGGTCACATCATCGATGCATCTGGAATTAAGCCAACCAAGGAGAAAGTGCAAGATGTCATTGATGCAAGGGCTCCTACCGATGTGCAAGAGCTGAGAAGCTACCTTGGACTAATCAACTACTACCACAAGTTCATTCCTAACCTGAGCTCAGTACTTGCTCCGTTGTATGAACTATTGTCTTCCAAGAGTTGGGACTGGTCTCATCGTCAACAGTCCGCATTCGAGAGTAGCAAGAAGCTGCTCATTGACTCACCCGTCCGTGTGCATTACGACCCTAAACTACCAATTATTGTGAGCTGTGATGCCTCACCGTACGGCATTGGTGCAGTTTTGTCGCATGTTGTCAATGGCGAGGAGCATCCGGTAATCTTCGCATCACGTACCCTGTCGTCAGCAGAACGAAACTACGCACAGATTGAGAAGGAAGGCCTCGCCATGGTTTTCGCTGTCAAACGATTCCACAAGTACCTGTATGGCCAATCATTCACTCTTCAAACAGACCACAAACCTCTGCTGGGTTTGTTCAGCGAGTGTCGGCCCGTTCCTGCTATGGCCAGCGGTCGTATTCAGCGTTGGGCGCTGATGTTAGCCAACTATGACTATGAGCTACAGTACAAGCCCGGCAAATCGAATGGAAACGCTGATGGTCTCAGTCGTCTGCCGGCACCAACGCCAGAATTCCAGGTTCCCGTGCCGGCTGAAACAGTTTTGTCAATGACTGTTTTGGACGGAACTCCCGTGACATCATCGAGCGTTGCGCAATGGTCTCGCCGTGATCCAGTACTTGCATTAATTCTTAAGTACGTCCAGGAAGGCTGGCCTAACGACGTGCATAGCGATTACCAAGCGTACTACCGTCGTCGAAGTGAACTCTCCATCATCGATGGGTGCTTACTGTTAGGGTCTCGCGTTGTCATTCCGCCCCAAGGCCGAGAAAAGTTACTGGAAGAGTTACATTTCAGCCATCCCGGCATAACCAGAATGAAGTCGCTCGCCCGCAGCTACGTCTGGTGGCCATCGATCGATGCCGAAATTGAACTCAAGGTCCGCAGCTGTGAGCCATGTCAAGCAACCCAGAAGTCTCCAGCACTACAGCCATTGCATCCCTGGGAGTGGCCAGGCAAACCCTGGACCCGACTGCACATTGATTATGCAGGCCCTGTGGAAGGCAAGATGCTACTTGTGATCGTCGACAGCCACAGCAAGTACATCGACGTGCACGCCGTTCCATCTGCTACGTCGACAGCTACCATTGGCAAGCTTCGTGAGTGTTTCGCTACACATGGTCTTCCGCAACAGCTTGTCTCGGATAATGGCTCAGTGTTCACCAGCTCGGAGTTTCAACAATTCTGCTCAAGTAACGGTATCAAGCATACCTTGGTTTCACCCTACCACCCAGCAAGCAACGGTCTTGCTGAACGAGCAGTTCAAACAGTCAAATCCGGCTTGAAGAAATTGTCAGGTGCTGGTGGAGACCTAGCGTCACGGTTACACCGCTTTCTGTTTCATTATCGCTTAACGCCTCAGTCAACAACAGGCCAGTCACCATTTCAGCTGCTTATGAACCGCACGCCACGTTCTCGTCTTGACCTGACGTTTCCAGATACATCAGCACGTGTCTTGAACAGGCAAGGTGCTGCTGTTGACCGTCGCACAGCTCGGGCGTCGGATCTCTGTTGTGGTGATGCTGTTTGGGTGATTAACTTCACATCAACGCCTAAATGGATGCCTGGTGTGCTGGAAGAATGTCTTGGTCCAGCCACGTTTACTGTACGTCTGGATGATGGTCGCATATGGAAGCGCCATGCTGATCACATTAGACGCCGTCTTCCGTCCGAGGGAGGAGAAATGCTACCCGAGAGTGCAGGCATATCCGACCGGTCATCACCGCCATCAACTTCAACTTCAACTTTGGCAACTGCACAGCCGCCGTCACATGCAGATGCCGAATCACCACAGCCGTCACAGCCAGAGGTTGCCGCCAGCCGCCAGGATGTGGAATCAACATCGCTATCCTCTTCTGCATTTGCTGCACCGTCTGCTGAATCTTCTACTCAGTCTTCTGCTATCTCTGTTAATTCTCCTAGCTCTAATCTGCGCAGGTCTACACGCTCAAGGAAGTCCCCTGATCGTATGAACTTGTAACTGCAGACCTGCTGGGTTTTGCGTTCAGCTCTCTGTTGATATTTGCAGTTCCTTAGTGTGTTACATTGAACTCGCTTCTCGTATCAGCAACAAATTATAGTGAACTCATTTCTCATACTATTGCTTATGTGTTCCTCATCTAATGGTGGAGAGATGTGATATCCGTACTAGTGAGCTACCTCACGTGATAGATCATTATCTTTCTACTCCTCTACTCTAAGTTGTATCAGCCGCGCATGCTTTTCCGTTGTGCTGCTGAGCTTCTCTGTCGTTCTAGTTCGGCGTTCTAGCTTTGATCTTGAAGTCAACAGTTCCCTTTTTGTCTTGTCCTGAACTGCTCTGGTGTGATCATAATAAGGTTGTACGCCCAAAGATTTACTTGTTCTAATGGAATGTATAATGCCACATTTCTTTGCACTCGTCCATTCTGTTATCAGATGAATTATAGATTTGTACCAGTCACAGTTCCTGATCTATAATACTCAGTAGTCCGTTTATCACATGCCTGTGTGTATGTTCAAGTATTCATACACATGTGTCCATCGTGTGTGTGTCTGTCTGTCTGTCTGTCTGTCTGCCTGCCCGTGTCTGTGTGTGTGCATTACCCAATAGCAGTGTGTATTTTCCTGATTGCCACGTGTGACTCTGCATGATGTTCCATCTCTGGCATAAAATAGGTAACAGATCAAGTGCAATGCTACTAACACCAATACACTCACTGTGTTCTGGGGACTTTCCCTTACCACGTTTACTTGTGCACAGACTGTATGGCAGCGACCCAGTGGTGGTGATTTCACAGCGGCTGCAGTGGCCGTGTTTGGTACGTCTACATTCTCGCAATTGAAGATGCACTACGGCACGGGAAAGGATATACAGGCGAGTGCAGAAGCGAGGTGAGTTCCAGCCCTAAACCTGACACTATAGTCTATAGCGCACTAACAGTGCGCGCCATGTTTTCAACGTTGGTTTCACGTGCATCGTTTGAACGCAGTCACGTCCAGTCGACAGTGTTCTTCTGCACTGATCGCCTGTGCTCTGTGTTCACGTGGACTGACTGTTGAAGACGAAGTCTATTGCTGCGCTCAGTGTATTGTGATGCTGGTACATTACCCGCATAGCACATAGCACATAGTATTGCTCTGTTGTTGAAGTCCCCGGTCCTGTTTTGTCTATAGTATTCATGTTATATATCTTGTTACTGTATAGGGCTGAAACAATCGTGGATTTTCACCCATCCATTACTCTTCAGCTTAACGATCGATTAATTGATTATAATCGTTGGCAAACAGTGTCAGAATTTTGTGCAAAATTTACTCTATTTCCAAAAGCTAGGCTTTCACAATACCAAAAATCTGCATTAGTAACAGGATAGCTCCGAAACATGGCAGTTCGCAAAACGAGGGTTTTCAGTACTTTTTGTACTCAAAATCCCTAACAAGTAATCTATAACGTAACGATTACTTGATTAATACAAGAAACTAACTCTCCTCCTCCATGCGCTCTAAAGCCGACCATTGCTACCCTCGGTAGCCATTACTTACACCAATAACTTCAAACAACGAAGGGAGGAGAGGAGGAGAGTTAGTTTCTTGTATTATTCAACAGCCGAAAGGTACCGTTCAACAGTTTATTGATTACTTGATTGGTAAGGAATTATCAATCGCTTACCGAGTTATTGGTATAGGTAATCGTTTCAGCCCTAATCTTGTACATAGCTATCAGTCGCAAGGGTAACCGCATTCCTACATATCAGGATTAGCGCGCATGTCTTGTGTTTTTTGTGTTGCACAGCATTCACATATCTGCATTGCTTCCCAAGCCGCTGGAAAGCACAGCATCAGTCTTGCGCAGCCCCCATTGCCCCCCTCCCCGCCGCACATAGCATTGCCCGGTTGCTGTAGTCCCCGGTCCTGTTTTCTTCTAGTCTTCTTGTCATGTGTGTTTGTTGTGCTCCACAGCATTCACATATCTGCGTTGCTTCCCAAGCCGCTGGCAAGCACGGCATCGGTTTTGCGCAGCACGTCCAACCGTAGTTTCATTATCATGAATAATCGTCCAGTCGACTACCAGGCGCTGCACAAGGTTAGCTTGGTGTATGCTCGCGACGCACTTGAACTTTTCTTAGTGTTCATTATTACTTTGGGTAGTATTTCCCATGTCCCCTGAATTTGTCCAGCTTGCCCCGACTACCAGCTACTATCAATTGTATCACCTAACTTATTCCTGCAGACAGATGCGTTAACCCCATGTGTTTCATTTGGGCTAGATGCGAACTGTGTTGATTATTATTATTATTTGGGTTGTGTTTGTCGTACCTTGAAGTGCCGAATTTGGAACAAGCAGAAACACCGATGTGCGTGTGTGCACGCAGGCGCCCATCCCAGGATCTGGTGGCAGCTCACCACTCAATACCGTGTACGACTCAAGGCCCGATCACCCCCTACTCAGCCTAATGTTCATGAATCATCGCACAGCGTTTTGTTCTAATCCGTTCCCATTGTTTCTCTACTGCAGAAGTTGAAGAGCACAATTACGCCGGCGTTACTCGCAGGCGCAATGGCCTCCGTTAGCGGTGCAGCTGTGGCTGGTAGCTCTCGCAGTCATCCAGCATATTGCCTCATGATTACTCTGCCGACTACACGTGTGGACGTCAATGTCAATCCTGCCAAGAACATTGTCCTCATTGATCAGGAGGTAGGTGAACGAACACTATTGTGAAGTCACAAGAAAGTCGTGCACTTATAGCCTGCTTTGAGTGTGTGTGTGGGGGGGGGGGCTTGCTTGAATGGGTTATCTCCACTGCTGTTTCCTCACCCAGAGATTTGCTCTGAGTTCTGAGTTCTCTAGCTGGAAGCACATGGGTTTGTATATGTACCATGGTGGTAAACGTATGTGCATGTACAGTATGTACATGTATGGGTGTACATATGACTAACTATGCTGTATGACTGTCGTGGACATGGAAATCCGGTCGCACGTCTAGTGGCCCCAGGGTGCTGGCCATGCAGCCGTGGATAAGTGGTACACACATGCATTTGTGCGCTGGTCGCATCGGATCAACATGTGCACTGCACGCAGCGTTCTGTACGCATCGAGGGCGCCGGCCCCGGTCAATCGACTGGATTCCCATGTCCACGACAGTACATGTACTGTTTGCATGTTATGGTGGACTGAACTGAAGTGGGTGGGTGCTGTGTATTGTTGCAGTGCTAGGTATAGCCTATAGGGGTAAGGTAGGGATCTCAGCGCGTGCACTGCGCATGCAGTTCGCGCATGCAGCCAAACGTGCATCAGAAGTGGCATGCAGAATTTTTGCCCAACACTGGCTATTTTTTGCAGAAAATTGAGATCTTGAACGAAGGAGAAATGGCTGAAATTTCCTTGCAAGGAGATGGTGGTTACAGGCTACCTGCTTACCAGAATGGGATCTTGTTTGGTATGTTGGCCGCCCATGTGTTCTGGAATCGATTTGTAGCTTTCGTTGGAAGGCGCGAAGCTGTTTTCGTTCCAAACGACAGGGTTCTTTCAGAGCGGAAAATGGCGATCATGCCGATCGTTGCCACGATCTCCGTGTTGAAAATCTTTGGATTTAACCGGGGAAAGCTCTGGATTCAATGGTAAACCCGGCAGAAATACTTGATGTTGGATGTTGAGAGCTGGCAGGAAATTTGACCGAAGCGTTCATGCTCCACTTGACGCTGTTCGTTCTTGTGAGTTTCTGCATTTCTGACATATCGCCGTGCATATGGGCCGTTGTTCCGGACAGGGTTTTGTTCGAGTGGTCGTATGGAGACTTGGTTTGGTTCTCACAGGCAACAGGAGCGGCTCCTCAGGATGGCGAAAGCCAAATCTACTCAAAGCCGACTTCACGATCGTCGATCTTCTGGCGGCGCATTTTCACTTATGCTCTGCAACAAGCGGCACAAGCTGTGGAAATCGTCAGATGATATTAGCCTATCAGTGTGCCCAGAACTTCTAGTGACTCTACTCAAGCATTACAGTCCATTCAGAAACAGATGGACCTCTAGCTTTTGGCCATAAATGGGTCAAACTTTGAGTTTTTTTAGAATTTTTTTCTGCAATCCCCTATGGAATCCTCTTCCAATTTTGTTTCTGAAGTCTATTTGTCCAAAAAGCAAGCCATAACAAGAATAGGATATCGGCCAGGTTTTGCCCCAGAAGCATTGAATTGGAAAAAACCATCAACATCCAGGCCGTTTGACCCTGCCTGCAACAGTGCATTGTGGGGTTCGAACCCCAGTTCAGGTACCCTTTTTGGACTCTTTTTCAAAGTTCAAATTTCGCAGCACTGCACCGTGTACAATGAAATCACGAAAAATCGCCAAATACGGGAGCTCGCGAGAGCCAGGGCCCATCTTTTTCTGAATGGACTGTAGCTTCAGTAATCTTTCTTTCTAGCCCTCTCTTTCTCTCTCTCTCTTATCTCTGTCCCTCTTTTTCTCTCTAAGAATGTTCCGAACTTCAAAATCTAGGTCGAGCTGCATCGGGGAGTCGTCAAATACCGACTCACTGAGCCCGTTTTTGGCGATCGCCATTTTTTTTTCAGTCTGCCATAGCCGCGTTGAAAAATCGATTACATCATTGAATGCGCAAAGCCCTGCGCAGTGTCCGCGCTGATATCCCTAGGTAAGGAGTGATGCGATCTTGCATGGTAATCACTACCCATGATAATATCATGTGTAGTATTTATATCAGCCAGTGAGTTGTAAACAACCTGTCCGGTTTCTGTCTAGCGCTGTAGCTTCATCAGAGGGAAGGTGTATGCATTGTACTCCATACTGGCTTCCTACGACTGTCACTTGAACAGAGTGTCTGTGTGGTCATGGCTGTCCTACTTTAGTGTCTGTGGGGTCAGGGCTGTCCTTGTTTAGTGTTTGTGTGGTCATGGCTGTCCTTGTTTAGTAGAAGTAAGCTTCAGTGTCGGTGCTAGCTTAGCTTGCGCAGGGCTCCTTTGAAACAAGCTGGTTCTTTCTGGTGGTTGTGCTACCTGGCATAGGAACTTCTCCTGGAGGCTGTTGATGAGCTGCTGCAAGAGGCTTATCCCGCTGCAAGCATGCCAGCACAGACAGGTGCAGCAACTACTCAGGATGCTGAGGAGCCGACTATGAAAAGCACTGCACGGAAAACGGAGTCGCGCTCCACGAACGCCCCTGCCATGAATCAAGCGTCAGTCGCGGATGTTCCAACCGAGGACGATGACTTTGTTGGTAATGCCGCGGCGGACCTCGATCTGCTGAGCAAATCGCAGTGGGTGGATCTGGTCGACGATGATCTTGTTCTGGACGACGAAAGTGCTGATGTTCCCGGAGCAGCTTCTACTACAACAGATACCAGTGCTGGTGCTGGCGGGACTCAAGCTATCCCCGACAGTCCAGGCTTTCCCGACCTCCCCACGCCACCGTCGAGTTTCATTCATGCCTCAGCTCTCTTCACACAGTCTGCCGGCGAGCAACACCGCGTGACTGTCGACTCTGATGCAACTATGCCCAGCGGAGATAACGGCCACTCTGAAGTGCAAGCCGTGCCAAAATCGCCCAGGACAATTGCAGAGGGAACTGATGGTCTTGCTGAAGGTAGGTTCTGATTGTTCTAAAACTTCTAATCTCGTAGTACATGTATATTCGTATCACCATGATTTGCGCGACAAATCCCTCAAATTATACGCATAAGAATGCAAACGAAAACAGTCAACTATGCAACGTTTTTGCAATGATCATGAACCGTTATGCAGGCAATGCACCGTGCATGCGCTAGCTTAGCACCTGGCGAGGCACACTAGACTTTTGCACACTTCACTGTAGACCTATCAGCCGCTACTCACAGTTTCAGCAGCGGACTTTCACTGAAATCGCAGAGCGCCGGTGGATGCACAGTATTACTGCGCTCTGCCATCAAACATTTCAAGGAATATATGAGGTCAATGCGGAAATTTTGCTAGAATGTTCGAGTCCTGGTGGTGACAGCCAATTTTTTCTTCAGACTTTTCCTTTTCCCATTCCCTCAACTAGTAAATAGAATGTGAGTAACTGGCAATTACCGTATTTTCCGGAGTACTGTATACGCCGCATCCAGATTTGTTTGTAAATGCAGACATCTACCCAGTATGCTACCGCTCATTTGACCATTGAAGTATACTGTAAAAGCCATTATTCTAACGAGGCGCATATATAACAATTTCCCAAATTGACTGGTTTACGCGTACCAAAGGTAACGATTCTGTCTCATTCTCAACGCTCAATAGGACAGTATATGTATCGATTTCTGTATAACGATTTCTATTTTAACGACAGATTGCTCCTCGTTAACTCGTTAGAGTTAGCACTTCGTAATAGTATGGCTTTTACAGCAACCCACATTGACTTTTTCTTGGGTGAATTACAAGTGTTTGAAGTGTGGCTTATACTCCGGAAAATACGGTGCGCAGAAATTTGCACGGCCGCATTATTAGTCCCTTTTCCTCTTCATTTTCCTAGTCTCCTGTCGTCGTTTTTATCATTATGCAAGCTGGAGCTAGTGGGGCTGAGGACTCCTCTGCTGTTTCGGGTGGCGTTCGTTGGATTTTACTGCTTCTTCCCCTGCTGGTGTTTGCACCCGCACCAAAACAGGGGCAGGCAGTGTAAAGTATGCATCAGAAAGTTCTAGGAAAGTCATTTACATGCCCTTTCGAATGAATGGGGAAATGACAACACATGCTTCATTTTCGAATTGAAATGCTATTGGTGAATGAACTTATTGAGCTGCTTCATATGGATAATGGGACGCACGTCCCCTGATTTCTTATCAACGACAAACATACTCGAAACAAAATGGCTCGAGTGAAGGGAAGCCGGGATGTCTGCACCCTTGGCTAGCATGACTTCCACTCCCTTATCCATACATGTTCAGTCATCCACAGACATGTTACTAGGCAGAGGAGTAGAATCTATCCATGGGAAAGTTATGACGTCAAGCTTCACACCCTGAAAATTGTCAAGCACAACGCGATCATGTGTCAAAGCCGTCCATGCATCAATGTTTAACGCAGTTCTTCCTGCTGTTCTTACAGTTAATGGCTCGGCCTGCCTTGGCTTAGCTCGGCTTGTAGAACGATTGACGCCTGTTCTCTTGCTTGCCCTTTGGTGGGGCGGACATGCCCCTCCGGTTTAAACCACGGCCTAGCCCAGGCTTGTTGCTAGGCTGAGAACCGTTGCAGTCAAAGGGGTGGTAGTGCTGAATAGACTAAGAAACCCTCGAATTCTCACTGATCTCCTTTACTGCCTCTTGAATCTTGTCACCGAACAGACAGTTGGTAACCGGAAACGCTGGCAGCACGCAGAACATGTTAACCACGATCAATGCCAGACTTCATCAGATCGCGCCTCTCTTACGATAGCTCTAGGAAGGCATTCCTCAGCAGGGCAATGACAGAGGATAACTGGGCATTTGCCTGCTGCAGTATGTGATGGTTGTCTGCGGATTTGGAGCATTGCATTGGCTTGTCCTTGGCCGCAACTGTGCCGGATAATCCTTTCACCAACGTATTTTTGCGAGGACCGCAGGCGAGCGTCATGATTGATTCGAGTTTCCAAAAGTTCTCAATCGAAAACTCTGGCATGCTCGTGACTGCAGTGCGCATGCCTGATAGTAACATGACAGACGTGTCCTTGTCTTTTTCCATTGCAATTCTGCCCGATGGAATGAAACCAATCTTTGAATCCAATAACATTAAACTGTCTGCTAGCCGGATATGTTCACAGCCTATCACATCGAAATAGTAATCGTTTCCAACCAGTAGGTCATTATGTACGTGATACTTCTGTGCCTTTCAGAGATCAATGTTGGTATTTACAAGTACACGTACTAGTATTCCGAAAGTGTTAACGTTGAGACAATGTTGCTTTGTTGTGTTGCTCTTGCAGTTGGCAGTGATGGCTGGAGTCGTGGACATGAGTTAGCCACCGAGGATGGCAATACTGTCGAGGTAAGTCTTTCTCATCTAGGTAGTAGCTTCCTGCTTCTAATGCTTTTGATAGCATCTGTGTGTGGGCAAGTGTTTGCGTGTGTGTTTGTGTTTGTGTGTGTGTGTGTGTGTGTGTGTTTGCGTGTGCGTGTGTGTGTGTGTGTGTGTGTGTGCGTGTGCGTGCGTGCGTGCGTTTGTGTGCGTGTGTGTGTGGGGGGGGGGTGCATATGTGTGTGTATGTGTGCGTGTGTGTGTGTGTGGGTGGGTGGGTGTGCGTGTGTGTGTGGGTGTGTGTGTGTGCGTGCGTGTGCGTTTGTGGGTGTGATACCATCCTACCTCTACTGTGCTTGCCATGCTATTTGAGGCCCAGTGCATGGCTGGCTGGCCAAGGGGCCTCAAACCATACGAGTGCTGCCTATGTGCACCCTGGGTTGGAGTGAAATAAGGCAGTGATGAGAGTGTCGCCATCAGTGAGAACTACAGTGTGGTGACAGAAATTCAGCAGAGTGTGAATAGAATAGAGCCCAGGGCTATGTGGCACTAGCACCAAACACCACAGTCCGTGCACTCCAATGCGGCACTACTTTATTCATCGGGTTGGATTTCTCTGCCCAGAACTGCACTCTGTCCATCAAGTGCATTTTAGCCTGCATTGCCAACCATGCTATCAGATAAGCTGTGAGTGAGAAATTCCTACACGCTCACAAATGGTGGATTTAGCGCACTCAGCACCTGGTTCACATACTTTTCACACCTGGTAGTTGTGTGTAAACTTCCCTGTCAGATATTTATTATTTAGCGCCACACATACTTCCTTTATACTGCTGATCTATGCACCATCTGTCATGTTCATTCAGCATCTATTTCTGTTGAGCTGTGGTGGAGTGGAGCTGTGACTGCCAGGAAGAATCTTCCAGCCCTGCTGTCCTTATTGGCTGTAGTTTATTGTTGTGTTGAATTGTGGGTGCTGGCGGCATGGGTTTTTGCCAAACTGAAGGAACCTCCTGGCAGTCGTGCAATACCTGACCTTTTTTCTATTTCATGTTTTTAAGTTTTTTGTTTGTTTTGCTCAAATCCGGATCCGGATCGAGTAACAGGATCCTGCAGTTACTTCAAGGTCCATTCGAACTCTGTCCTGGGGCAGATTTACGATTTTCAGTGCTTTTTTTTAGACTTTGCACGAGAGGAAATGGTGATTTGCACAGGGTGAGGGTGGCGGGGTTTCTACAAGTACGAATGCAGAAAAGCTGGTCTGTCTGACTGTGGCATTAGATTCGTCTGTGTTTGTTGATGTCATATACGATCAACTCAGTATGGACTCGGATGGAGAGCCAAGGAATAATTCATGGAAAAGAAAAAGGACCAAGAGCTGATGAGCTGATTGTTTAGTAACTGGTGGTGTTAGCGGACATTATAGCGTAACTTGTAGTTCCTTGGTCCTTTTTCCTTTCTATAGATCAACTCAGTGTTTGTGCTTCTACTTTAGCGGTGTCCTGTTTGTGTTTTCCTGTTTGCTTGTTACTTGCCTGTGCATGCAGCCCGTAATGTTCCTGGCGCCCAGGACAGTCGCTACTAGTAGCAGCAGTACTGGAGCAGCTGTGACGAACAGATCAACCGCAGCACAAGTCAGTTCAAGTCGTTGCAACATGTCTGCATCCTCTGCGCAGTTGTCTTCAAATTCTCACGGCGGAGAGGACAGTGGACATGACAAGCCTTCAGCTCCAGGAGTCGGAAGAGCTGGTGACATCGGAGCACCAGCAGACAGTGTGACGAGAGAGTATACCCACCGTCCTATTGTTGTCGATTTCCCCGAGACTGCTGTGCTGGCTACAGCTCTGGCACAGCGCAAACCCGCTGCAACACCGCTAGCTGCTCGAGCGGATGCACCACCGCTGGTTTCTCCGGTTTTGTTCGATGTCCCCGCCCGCACCGCTTCCTCCTCGCCTGCAATAGGTCTTCCGAATTTCTCTCTCGACGCGTCACAGTTGTCTCAAACACCGTCACAGCAGCCCATGGAGGCCACAGCACCACCGACTGTATCTCTCAGTGCCAACGTCGGTGCTGCTGAGAAGCGAAGCGCTTTACTGCCATCAACTCCGGCGGCGAAGCGGTCTAAACCTGCGACTGCCACTCCGTCGAGCTTGAAACGTCAACCAATGCGCCAGGTGAAGTTGCCGTACTCGATAAAACCCTTGACCAATGAGGTGGGTAGTTGCTTATTGAATACGGTCGTGCATGTGGTGTGTGCAGTGTGGCTGGGTGTGCGAGCGCTCGCACACACATGAGTGCGGAATGCACGTGGGTGTGCATGTGGGTGGGTGCGTGTGTGGGTGTCAGATCTGCTATTGTACACGGTACATGGTGTGTGTGTGTGGGGGGGGGGGGGGGGTGCACGTGCGCGTGCATGTATGAATACCCCCCCCCCCTCTCTCCGCATGAGTGAAGTGCTTGCGTCAGGGCAAGCAACATTTACTTATGTTCTTTTCAGCGAAAACAGGCCGTGCGCCATTGTCGTGATTACGCAGCAAGAAAGCACATGACACCAGTCTTGAATGCAGCGCTATAGTAGCACTACTAGTACCCCAATTAAAAAAAAGCGTATTCTGTTGTGTGTTGTTTCTCTGCAGTCGTTCAGCTATGCTGTTGGTGGACCAGTGGTGGATGTGCCCGTCTCTTTTCACACCGTCAGAGAGCGGTTTCTTGCAGCTGATGCTGGTCCGGAAAGGTACTACAGTCCATTTCAAAACTATAGACGCGTACCTAAAAAAACCGTTATGCCAGCATCTATACCACATAAAATCTGTGATCACTTTGTGCATAATTTTTTCCAAATTGGGCGTCTGTTATCCAATCGTTAAGAAACTATATGAGAGTAATTGTGGAGCGGTCCTGAGCAATATTCCGAAAACTATTCTCAAAAAGCTCCAGCCAAATTTGAAATATTTCAAAACCCTACGCGTCTATAGTTTTGAAATGGAC